CTAAGAAGTACCTCTCAAATCCCAGCCTGGCAGCAGGCAAGCTCTCCTCCCCTCAGTTTAAGAGAACAGTGGATCCCCGCCAAAGCTGCCAAACCATGTGTAAATTCCCACTTCCTGGTATTTTAGTAGTCCTTACTTTTTAAAGACTGTTCAGAGCTCTGAGCTTCCCACTGTATGTCTGAAAAGTCATCCCTTGCATGACTGAACTGCAGCACGTCCTGTCCCATAGCAGCTGCATAAATCCTTGGTGACCAGAGGTGTATACCAGACAGGTGAATGAAATCCTCCTGTTGCCTAGTGTATGCGTAGTGCTAGGCATCCACCTGCCATGTGAATGGCTCTAAATTAGTGCTTCAGTTCAATTCAGGAGTTGGCTTTTGAAAAATAGTTGCTGGTTGTCCCTGCTGAGCACACTTTGCTTTGCATGGTGGATCAGCCTGGGAACGCATGAACTGGGATTCCCTTCAGATGAGACTGGCCTGAAGGGTGCAGCCTGTCTACATCTGATGTGCTCCAGCCACAAATACGTGTGTGGTGTACAAGACCACACTGAGGCTAATCTGAAATAAAAAAATTCCAAAAGCCAGACACCGTGGTTTACTCTTTCTTCAGAGCTGCTGTTGCTCCACAGTACTTGCTAATTTAGTCTTAGCCTTTATGTGTTTGTGTGGGTGCCTATATTCCCAGCCACAGGAACAGAATTGCTCTTTCTTGGAACTTGGGGTGCTTCTGGCATGTCTGTTGTGAGTTGGATATGCTTCAATTAATATAGTGATGGTAAAGAGGCTGGAGAGCCTTTGAGGCTCTGAAGTGCGCTGACAGCTGGGTAAGTTCTGGGGTAAAGTAGTGAGTGTAGCTTGCAGGCCATGGATCAATATTGTAGAGTAGATAATAGGATTAGGAAACCACATCCTTACACTCTTCTTGCAGTGTGAGATTGTGCATTGGTAACTGGCATTCACACCTCTGTGTTGTCTCAGCTGGGATTGTCCTGGACCATTGCTTCTTGATTAGACATAAATTACTATGGAGACTTTTTGTTTATTTCGTACTGGATGTGAATCTGACCCTTTGGGTCAGATGTAGTACGGACCAAGCTATAGGTAGTCCAGTTACATATTTTCTCAACTGCAAATAAACTGATTGCTGTATATCAATAAAATATTTTTCCATTTTGAAAAAAAGTTGCTTTCCCAAAAGTGTTTAGAACAAGGAATAGGCAGTCAGCTAAAGCTGACTAAGGAAATACTGCAAAGAAGAAGTTTATGGCTAGCAAGTGTCATCTAGGTTTGCCTAAGTGCACTGTGTCATTGGTTACATTGTTTCATGTATTTGTGAAACGCATGAACTGTAATTACAGCATGTGCATCTATACATTTGTGTGTATACACGTGCCTTATTATTTATTCCATCTACTTAGCTCTTTAAAACCTGAAGCTAGGAGTAAGGTTTGCCTGCATGTACATAATGTGAAGGGCTTTTGTGAATGGTATGTTGTCAGTAATACATATTTTTAATCTCATTCCCTAAACACTTTGAAGAGATGGAGGAGCTGGCAGAGCATGGCATTTTCTTGCCTTATAATATGCAAGGACTGACAGATGAGCAAATCGAAGAACTGAAGTTAAAGGATGAGTGGGCAGAAAAGTGTGTACCCAGTGGTGGAAGCGTCTTCAAGAAGGATGAAATTGGGCGAAGAAATGGACATGGTAAATCAATAAAAGTTTCTTTCCCTGCAGGCATAGTTAATCTGTAATATAATGAGGAACATGAAAACATAATTCTGGACCTTTCACTTTTACCTCACTGTCCTGAAAGAACAGAAAAATAACCAAGTAGATACTTAGTATACATATTTCAGGCCAGCATGTCAGCTGGCTCATGTTTATTTGCTAATTATAAAAAGAATCCTATAAATAAACTGTGTTAAGGGCAGTCATGGATTGTTAAGTAGCAGCTATTTCAAGATCCTGTTTTCACAACAGATCGGCTGAACTGTTAGTTACATACATAAGTCTTCTGTCTTGGATTAGGACCTGGTGTAATGTTGATTTAAAAGCCTAAATAGCAGTATATCTCTTCAGCACATATGCTGTTTATCTTTGCAACTGTAGTACTTAGAAGTAAACTCCAAAGATAAGTAAACAATTATCAGAAGCAAGTTTGTCTGTTTCACTTTAATTTATTCTCCCCATTTGTAAATGTATACTTGAGTACTATTTTTCTCCAGGGACTCCAAGATACATTAACAAGTTGTTTTTCTAATATTTCTCCTTTTTTCTCATTCATTATGACTCAAACTTCATGAACTCACTCCTGTCACTTTTTCCTTCTGCATCTCCAGCCAAGTGGTTTTGCCTTAGCACTTGGTATGTGTATTGAGCACCACTTAATAGTCAAGAGCATGAGGACTGATTGCACAGAAGAGACCACTTCTTGCTGTCTGTCCCCATACTCCAGACACTGCAACAGCCCACAGCAGACCTTGATTTCAAGACAGCTCAGCTAAGGAGAAATCTTTGGATGATTTGGTCTTAACTTGTCGTATACAAATAGCTTACTCCAAGTGTCCTGTTTTGGGGAAAATAATTCTTCTAACACAACACATTGCCCTATCAAATTTAAGCCTTTGTTGAACGTGATTAAGAGCTTATATTACAGCTAAATGTTTTCCCTCCTAACTGTGTTCTCAGAAATAGCTGTCTCTTACATGTAGGCATGTGTACAAAGCCTGTCTTGTTTGGCATGGTTGTGAGCAGTGTCAGACCTTGCATTAAAAATTTGCAAGCCACTTTAATGTGAGGACAGAACCACTTTTACTTGTAGTTGTACTTGGGCATTTATTTATTTATTAGTGGGCGGACAACTCTGTAATAGTAACAAAGTTACAATATTGAACAGCTAAATGTGGGCCACACTATAGACCATTAAATGATGCATTTAAATGTTCAGCTGTGAATGAATGCGATTTAATTGGATTTTTTTTTTGAGGAGAGGCTTTTTGTAACCAAAAAAGGTAACTATAGTATAAAATGCATGTTGTATTCCCAAAACTGCATTTACTGCTTAATTGAAATTTTAATTGGAAAAAAGTCAGTAAACTGCAAGCTCTTATCCCTTTTTATGCACATCTGGTAGTGCAGCCCACAGTAGTCACAAGTATGGCATGGGAAA